GCCCCAGGCCGGGAGGTTCCCGCGCTCCGGGCTTCGACCTCAGCGGTACGCGCCGCACTGGGTCTCACAGATCTGGGGGAACCCACCATTGACGGACTACCTCCCCCTCCCCACTCATTGTCCCCGCAGCGCTGGCAAGAAGAGCTCTCACACATGAAGCGGCTTCCCCCGGTGCTTCCAGGCCGCCCGTATGACCTGACGGCGGCAACAGTGGCCGCGGACCTGGAGAGTGCTGGAGCCGGCACAGCATGCGGTGGCAGCAGCCAAGCGCTCCTACCCCGGAGGGAGACGGAGGAGTTCAATGACCTCCTGGACCTGGACTTTATTCTCTCCAACTCCCTGTCCCACCAGGAGTCTGTGGCTGCTACAGTATCCTCGTCGGCTTCTGCTTCCTCCTCGTCCTCCCCTTCGAGCAGTGGCCCGGCCAGCGCACCCTCCACCTGCAGCTTCAGCTATCCGCTCCGGGCCGGGGGTGACCCGGGTGTGGCTCCGGGCAGCGCGGGCAGCGGCCTCCTGTACGGCCGGGAGTCAGCGCCCCCTCCCACGGCGCCCTTCAACCTGGCGGACATCAACGACGTGAGCCCTTCGGGCGGCTTCGTGGCCGAGCTCCTGCGGCCCGAGCTGGACCCGGTGTACATTCCGCCGCAGCAGCCGCCGCCTCCGCCGCCAGGGGGCGGGCTCCTCGGCAAGTTCGTGTTGAAGTCGTCGCTGAGCGCCCCCGGCAGCGAGTACGGCAGCCCTCCGGGCATCAGTGTTAGCAAAGGCAGCCCGGACAGCGGCCACCCGGTGGTGGTGGCGCCCTACAGTGGGGGCCCGCCGCGCATGTGTCCTAAGATCAAGCAGGAGGTGGTCTCCTCGTGCACCGTGGGCCGGCCACTGGAGGCCCACCTGGGCCCGGGCCCTCCGCTCAGTAACGGCCATCGCCCTCCTGCACACGACTTCCCCCTGGGACGGCAGCTGCCCAGCAGGACTACCCCGACCCTGGGTGCTGAGGAACTGCTGAGCGGCAGAGACTGCCACCCCTCCCTGCCGCTCCCCCCTGGCTTCCATCCCCATCCTGGGCCCAACTACCCACCCTTCCTGCCGGACCAGCTGCAGACCCAGGTCCCACCACTCCACTACCAAGGTCAGTCCCCGGGACTCCTAGCTCGGGCTGGGGAGCCCAGCAGGCGCTGCCCCTCTGGGATGCACGGGGTGATGCCGACCCTCACACCTTCTTCACCCCTAGAGCTCATGCCACCGGGTTCCTGTCTGCCGGAGGAGCCCAAACCAAAGAGGGGAAGAAGGTCATGGCCCCGGAAAAAGACGGCCACCCACACGTGTGATTATGCTGGCTGCGGCAAAACCTATACGAAGAGTTCTCATCTCAAAGCACACCTGCGGACACACACAGGT